TGACAGACAGGAGTTGCTCTGTATTGGTCTAAAACTGTATTTAATGCTGTCCTGTCTTGGAAATTGTACATTACAAATTAATAAACTATTGATACAGATTAATATTTAAATTATTATCTAGTTTCAAAATGATATCTCCAGTTAATTATACGGTAAGTCAGTTGAAATTTTGAATGTCAATTTAATGATGTTAATGGTTGGATTTTAAACTATTATCAGAGATAAATCATTCTAGTAATATCAATTATAAAGCTTTTATTACTTCATTTCTATTTTCAGGTATCTTCCTCGGACAGACAGGTTGAAAATGTGAGTCAGAAATCTGGATTTATACCCTACCAGAATCAACTTCAGTATACAATAGACTCTACAAGTTCTTACCAACCTACATTTCCTTCTTCATTTTATCAACCATGGGACGTTTACAACTCACCACACCTGGAAACCAACTTCATTAGACAATCTTCTGTTACCATCGAGTCTCCAGTATCTAGAGATGGTAGCATTGAGTCTCATTTGGATCTTGATTCAAGTCCATCATCTTCAAGATATTCAACTACTCCTACCACAACTCCACCTCTAATTACCGATAGCGACAGTGGAAATTCTTCCGGATTTGTATCTGATTCTAGTCCCCAACCTGCCACCTCGTCATCACCTAACGTTCCTCCACCGATCTCTACAACAGACCTTGGTAGAAAATTATCTGATCCTGAGAAGACTACAAGCAAGAAGAATTCAAGAACAAATTACAGTCCTCAACAAGTCCGATCATTAGAAAAAATATTTCTCGATACGCCATATCCAGAGTCTGAAGTGATGGAACAGTTGTCTCGAGATCTGGATATTCCAGAGAAAAACCTAAAGGTATTTTTCAATTTACTTCTTTCTTAGCTAAATTGTATTTTTAGTTTGTCATATTCTCAATCGACATCTACTATAGTATATTTAACTTGTTTCTACTTTTAAAATGATATATCATTCAGTTTTAATATTCATCTTTTGGTTTTGTTTTTCAGATTTGGTTTCAAAACAAGCGTGCCAGATGGAGGAAACGAGTCCGTGACAACAAACCAGCTTTCCCACCAATGAATCCTAGCTACATTCCACCAGTTGCGACAAACATTACACAATATAGTATGATGTCTCCTTCAGCATTGATGTCCCAAGTATTACCATCGGGAGTTGCTTCTCGACCAGTTTATAATATACCGTCTTCCATCCCAACGCCATCCAACACTACCACATTTCAAAGAGCCATACCTTTTCCAACATACGTCAACTCGTACATGTATCCCCAGTTCAGATGATGACCTACCACGGGAGTTGCTTCTCGACCAGTTTATAATATACCGTCTTCCATCCCAGCGCCATCCAACACTACCACATTTCAAAGAGCCATGCCTTTTCGAACATAGTTCAGATGATGACCTAATCATATTGTTTATTGTTAATGATATTGTTTTAAGATTATTATATTGTTACTTTAAGATTTTCTAGTTATTTATCAATAAAATATTATTTAAATATCCTATACACACATTTCTTCATTTACCATCTTCAAATTTAACAGTTACTTGAAGATATAATTGAATTTGCAACGAGCAAAACACAAGACTTTTGATTGTTGTGGTTTTCCAACTGTTTTAGTCTTGAATATATCTAAATAGTCTTCAGAGGTAGTAGAAATGCATGAAAATCACATAATTCCTTTAGAAATATTTCAAACTAGTAATTTTACTCACTATTTCTATATATGTCTTTTCTGTATATCACAGAGTATCTTTAATTGACGAGTCGTCATTTTAACATTCAAACGCAGATAAGTGTGGAAAGACATGGATTTGAAGGCTCAAATTTCGACGGTGAGCTGTGAACACTATTACTGATTAGCACAGCTAAACAAATTCCAGTTTCTGAGACTAAAGTGTGATTGTTCAAAAAATGGCTTACATGTCCCTTTAAACCATACATTGTATATATAATGTTTAAATGCTGATCAAAACCTATTTTGGCTTATGATGTTCCAATGTAATACAACTTCTATAAGGTTGATTGCTAAATGCTGGTACACACATGGGTCTTATTAATGATTTAAGAAAGATATATGGCTCAATGTGATAGATGCTCCTTAACTTAAACTATATTTATTTATAATTTACCTATTATACATACATAAAGATAAATAATGGTTTCTTCTTGGAATCTATCATAAAATAATAATGTTTGTCTTTAGGTGAATCAAATAACTGAACGTGACAAATAAAATTGAATGATATAACTTGAAATTGGGACAGTGTTCATCTGATAAAACTTTGTATCAAATAGTATCTTTAATCTACTCGAGCAATAGATAGTTATCGAGAAAAACAAATCGTTAAAATAAATTAAGATAGCAATTAGACCAAGCATAGATGTAAATATGACTGCTTGTATATGTTACTGTTTTAAATTAACAAAGTGAGATAAGTAAAACTTCATCATTCATGAATCATCAATGTTAATTACATCATTAATCAAATGTCAATTCGATCAGTGATTGAATTGTATTAATCCAATTAACTCGATTAAATATGCCAGCATTAGTCGAGTTGTCACAATACTGACAGACAGGAGTTGCTCTGTATTTGTCTAAAACTGTATTTAATGCTGTCCTGTCTTGGAAATTGTACATTACAAATTAATAAACTATTGATACAGATTAATATTTAAATTATTATCTAGTTTCAAAATGATATCTCCAGTTAATTATACGGTAAGTCAGTTGAAATTTTGAATGTCAATTTAATGATGTTAATGGTTGGATTTTAAACTATTATCAGAGATAAATCATTATAGTAATATCAATTATAAAGCTTTTATTACTTCATTTCTATTTTCAGGTATCTTCCTCGGACAGACAGGTTGAAAATGTGAGTCAGAAATCTGGATTTATACCCTACCAGAATCAACTTCAGTATACAATAGACTCTACAAGTTCTTACCAACCTACATTTCCTTCTTCATTTTATCAACCATGGGACGTTTACAACTCGCCACACCTGGAAACCAACTCCATCAGACAATCTTCTGTTACCATCGAGTCTCCAGTATCTAGAGATGGTAGCATTGAGTCTCATTTGGATCTTGATTCAAGTCTATTATCTTCAAGATATTCAACTACTCCTACCACAACTCCACCTCTAATTACCGATAGCGACAGTGGAAATTCTTCCGGATTTGTATCTGATTCTAGTCCCCAACCTGCCACCTCGTCATCACCTAACGTTCCTCCACCGATCTCTACAACAGACCTTGGTAGAAAATTATCTGATCCTGAGAAGACTACAAGCAAGAAGAATTCAAGAACAAATTACAGTCCTCAACAAGTCAGATCATTAGAAAAATTATTTCTCGATACGCCATATCCAGAGTCTGAA